ATTATATGGATATTGCACGCACCAATATCGCAATAACAATGTTTTTTCGATATATCGTGCAGTCCTACTTTTGAGTCTATATGTATTTTAAGCTTGGAACTGAAATATACCTCTCTGGGACATCTCACTTGTTTTTAGGCACATTTACCATCAAACTGCGTCACAACCATTTGGCAAAGGCCCATACTTAAAAAATTGGGGTAAACAAATTAAAAATCCACAAAAGAAAAAATGACATTGCTTTTTTCAAGGAGTGAATTAAAGGGTTAAGTCTGCCCCTAACGTTTCAGGTTATGTTGATAAGTAACTAACAGACAAACCCTGACACAGGCATAACCTCTGAGGAAGTAATTTACAGAGCAAATGGATGGACTCTTTGTGAAGCTGAGGCCCTGTAGTTTTGGCCTCTGATGTTTGTTCCCACTTAGAATTAGAGAAAACAATCTAATAGATAAAACTGTAAAGTCCCCCCTCCCTTATATTTACCATGGGAGATTTAGGCAGAGCAAGTATCCGGGGATTGGATCTTTTCGTCTGTAGTAGATTTGAAGAATTCCCCTTTCACAGTCGAAGCAAATGTTACTGGAAATGATAGTTAGAGACATGTAATAAAGCAAAAAGCTACAGACAGAACACATATCAAATCAAAATTCAGGGTTTTTCTCATTTCTCGATTTTCATTACGGTGAGTGTGGAAACTGGCCCAGGTTCATCACATAAACTTTGATGTGACTCAAACGGACACATCTGTGATTATAATCTTCCACATATCAAAAAATAAATATTAGATAAAAATCCTGTGAAGGCACATTAGTTTTGTAAGTACATGTTATTATATAGTGTCACTGGATCGCGTAAGGCTGTGTTTTGTAGATGTAAAAAACTATTGTATTGTAGCTGCACCATAGACTTTTCTTTGAGCCCAATCAAATCTGAATGATAGAACATTAACTATAAAATAAGCTAATTAATCGTCTCCATTCTATTAATAGTCTTTGCCTTGAAAATCAACATTCCTCGGCTCCTTTCCTATTCAGTTTAGCTGTTATAATTAAGTGCAGTGAGTCAGTATGCAGCAATCTCATCTTGTGTCTTTTTTTCATCTCATAAATGCAATGGTACGTCCTGTCTGATTTGAATCTTCTCATATCCTCATATAAGATGCCATACTGCCATTTCATAATGTCTACTGAATGTCACTTTATCTCCTTAATATCCTGCCCTATATGTATATAACTTTACGCTATATTTATACAAGTGTATATATATACTTATATTGCATTATCTGTGTGCTCTTCTTACTGTCCTGTATGTGCAACATTGAAGTTTCCCCACTGTGGGACGAATAAAAGTTATCTTAGCTTGTTTAAAACATTGTTGCTGTCTGTCTGCAGATGGAGAACCAAGCAGAATCTGGACTACTCCTTCCTCATGATGTACGCTGTGAGCAAAGGAGTGTACTATGTCCAGGTAGGTGAAGTCCTTAAAAGCATTTCAGGGCTAACTTGACAGTATTAAGCTCTAAAATTATTGTTTTAGCTTTTTTTTTTTTTATTCTTTAACCTAAAAGGCTTTTAATCTTTGGAAACATGTGACCTAAGTTCTACTGTACATACTGACCAAAGAAATATACTACTACTACTTAACATGGTTTAGACCTAAAAGCCAATAAGAAAAGCTAAATTTTTGAGGCAAAGCTAGAGAAAAAAATGCAATCATTATCTGTTACACTCTGCCTGACGCATTGTCCTTGTTTTCCATTCTCTGTTCTCACGTGGAGGGAAGAGGTATTTCCTACTTGTAGAAGTCTAGCAGAGCCACTCAGCAGTATTTTGTGCCCACGCCATCGCTGTATCCCTCTGTAAACATAGACATCTTGCTTTCATTCCCTACATGCTTTCTCCGCACTTTTCACACCGCGCTTCCTCCGTGCGACGTCCGCCTCACTCTCTGCTTTATCGTTTCCTTCCTTCAGCTGGAGGATGACATCGTGGCTAAGCCCAACTATTTTGCCACCATGAAGAACTTTGCGCTGCAGCTCTCGTCGGAAGACTGGATGATTCTGGAGTTCTCTCAGCTGGGATTCATCGGTAAGGCCTGGTTCAAGTGCTCTGTCCATGCTTCACGTGCCACCAGAACAGTCAGCGTTAGGACAAAAAACAGAAACTTGACATCTGTTTGGCAATTATTAGTACTTCTGGGCTATAAGCTATAAAAATTAAACCTGCGGTCTATAGCAATGTGGCCAATGTATGTGTTTTGAATGACCCCCAGAGTTTTGTGACTACTGACTACAACTCCCGGAGCCTTTGTCTTGACGGCTCCCCTTCAAACTAATAGAAACTGAAAAATTCTCCCAATTTTTTGTAGTTTTTCACAAGATTTATTAAAAGTAAGTAATTTACAAGGGATTTACCTTAACTCACTTTGACCAAAAAATTACCTGCACTGAGTAATTACTGTAATTAGTGCTCTATGAGTTCTAGTGTTAAAGAAAATACTTTTATTTTTTACATTATTTTGGCTACATTAAGTTTTAGTATGGATGGGAAGCAGATTTATCATCATAATAGAGTGATTATATCATCACAAGACGACTGCAAAACACCTCGGTTTATTAATATTCAGACACATTTTAGCAACAGCTCAAAGCATAGTCACAACTCATTCTTTCATGGGACAATATTTTACATTTGGCATTTGGGTTGATCTTGTTTTTGTTTACTGTTTCCACAGGCAAAATGTTCCAGGCTCCAGATCTGAACCTTATAGTAGAGTTTATTTTTATGTTTTACAAAGAAAAGCCTATAGACTGGCTTCTCGACCACATTCTCTGGGTCAAAGTCTGCAATCCGGAGAAAGATGCGGTACGCAAAGTCGTTCAGAAATGTTTAAACCCAACAAAAATGACTTTAAATTTACATACCGTGCTTCTCTTCATAGAAACACTGTGAAAGACAAAAGTCCAGTCTTCGGATACGATTTAGACCCTCACTATTTCAACACGTGGGACTTCATTCGTCTCTTGCAGGAAAAATCCAAAAGCTCACAGTAAGTTTTATGTGCTTTGCTTTTAACTTGCTGCTGCTCAGAAACTACACTCACCCTTGTCTTGTTTTGCGCCCTCTCTCTGCAGGACAAGGATTTCTTAAAACCTCTGCTTCACAAAATGCACATCAACCCCCCTGCTGAGGTTTCCACTTCTATGAAGGTAACGGATTAAAACATAATCGGCTGATTTCAAAGTTGTACTGAAGGATGTGTCGTGTGCAGGTGTACCAGGGCCACACTCTGGAGAAAACCTATTTGGGAGAAGACTTTTTCTGGGTTGTGACGCCGAAGGCCGGAGATTACGTTCTGTTCAAGTTTGACCGGCCTCTTAGCATAGAGAGGTATGTTTGATATGTTCATGTTTGAATTTAGATCGTTGTGTGTGAGTAGAGATTGAGAGTTAATTTATTTCTGTATTTAGACTTACAATGTGAAGCCAATACATGATGTAGACTCATTACAGGCAGAGTGACATACGCCAAGCCTTTGTTGTCATTTGGGGGTTTACAGACCATTTTCAAAATATTCTGCTTGATATCTCTTTGCCTGTAACGAGTCATATAATGTTTTAGCATCACATTGAATTACATTACATTATATCTGTAAGTTGAATTACAGATATAAATTAACTTTTGAACCATATTGTCCAGCTCCCTATGAAAGGGAAATGGTTTGTTATTATTGCATTTCCTGTGTCTGATAGTTCGATTCTCTGATCTGAAACAACATTGTAATGTCCTCCAAGACGACTGCTGTTGTGAATTTTGAATTGAATTTTCCGAGTTTCTTTATCTTCTGACCAGAATCTTTCTCTTTAACGTGTTCACAAGAGACTTAGGTTTGGCTCCGCTGTTGCTGGCTCTCCATGGGGATGAGTGTAGGTTAATGAGAGTGCTCTAAAATAAGCTCTTTGCGCCGGCCTCCTCCTCTCACAGGCTGAACCAAAAATGTACCATTGGTATTGTCAACTGAATCTGATAAAGGCTATATTTCTGGTTATGTCTATAGCAGGCCAATGCAATTAAGATTTTAGAAAATAAGTAACGGTATTATGATCAGATCAACTTGTGGGAAGGTCTGGCATGATTTGGGCTTAAGTTCATCGACAAATCCCAACAACAGACCGTATATTAGGAGTGGACTGAAACAAGTGCTCCATAGTGTTAGCCTTAATGGGGGAGAAGCCCATTTGAACTAGCTGGAGCCTGTTTTCTTATATGGGCATTTGTTACGAAGGCATCAGATTTGTGTCGTAAAAGGGGGAGATTTGTTTCTAGAGCGAGCTTTAGTTTCCCCATGAATGAAGGCATCTGATTGGGCAATCTTTCTATGGTTCATATTTGGTTTTGTCAATACGATATGGAAATATTCATATCAGGATCATAGAGGGCGGGAAACCTCAGATAGTGAGTGTGACACCAACGGTTTCACTCTATGATCCTGGTGTTTGCATTCTATGATCAGTCCATGAACGCAACAAGAGCTGAAACTAACAATGACAATTATTCTTTTGAGTAAATCAATTAGTTGTTCAGATTGGGAAAGATCAGAGAATGTTTTGTTGTTTTGTACATTTGACCAAATCTAAACACGTGATGCCCCTGAAGAGTATCTTCATAGAGACGACTTGTTACATTGGGTTTGATGAAAAAAAAAAAGTGGAGCGATTAGCAAAGTCATAATAAAAGTATCTAAGTCATGGAACCTATTCTCAGCATGTTTGCGTCTGTGTGAGGTTAAAATGAATCCATTATTGAATTAGTTGACTGTTTTAAATGATTGATTAGTTGTGATTTATTTAACTTATTACAGCCCTAATGAGGAACCAAGTTTTTGTCACACATAGTTAAATGTATAGTCAACCGGTAAAGATGTTACTTCCGCTCTTATTGTTGCAAGGGTTCCTATCTATAACCAAAAGTGAAGTAAATCCTGGTTTTAAAATGCGTTATTCAAAGTTGCATTTACTTGAATTGTGGATGGAATTGCAAATAACAACATTTTAATTACTGGCAGGTTCCTGTTTCGTAGTGGAAACCAGGAGCACCCTGGGGACAAGATTGAAAACACAACAGTGGAAGTTCTGCCTGTGTCGGTACGAACACACTTCTCACTGCGATGTGCAAACGTGTCTGATTAGATTACAACGTGTGCTTGTTGTATTGATTGATTGTCAGGGACAGTGTAAGCATGACAGCAGCACATTCTTACAATGTTCCTTTAGGCTTTGAATGTGACTTGTGCTCATTCGTCAGGAGGCGGGACTTCAGCTGAAAGACAAGTATAAGCGCACTGAAGATCGCTTTTACAGGATTGGTGAGTCACTGACCTTTTTAGTTTGTCTATTTACACCAGCATATTTAGGAGGTTTCCATTGCAATAGATTTGATAGTATGAGCTGGTGTCTTTAAAGCTGGGGTACCTAACTTTGAAACCACTAAAAATAACAATGAAATACAATCTATGTAACTAGCTCTCAAATATCAAAACAGTTTGGTTCGATTACTAGATTTCACATGCCTGTATTATTGTACCAGTCCTCTCTCAGCCAATCAGCTCTCAGCATGTGAAAGATAGCAATGTTTTAGAATAGGATAAAGATGGCACGGATAAAGATGACACGGGTGTGTCCACAAATGTCAACGCAATTCAATTTTAATTTTGTATAGCCATAAATCACAACAGTCATTATCTTGGAGGACTTGTTAGTTTGCCAACACATATCAGAGAATTAAACCGTTCAAACCCAGAAAATGCAACAATTAAAAAACACATAAATGTCCATAAATGTGCATAGATATCCAAAGAAATGTGTAAAATGTGGTTAAATGTCCTGGACAATTGCCACTGTTCTTTGACCCTCCTGCGTCGCTAAGGAAAGGCTAAACAAAATAAAATAAAAAATAATAATAATAATGATGATTGTAATGTGCTTTTTGTGATACTTAAATACATTTATGACACTAACAAAACAAGTTGGGTACTCCAGCTTTAATAAAACTTTACTGTCGTGTGTATTGCAGTACACATGGACAGCTGCCTATCAGAATAAAAACATTTGTGATAAGTGTGGTTCCTGTAGAAACGGGTGTGTTCGATTGCACCACAGGTCAGTTTGAGAAAGGCGTCGCCGAAGGAGTGGTACATCCATCTCTCAATCCTGTGTTGGCACTTCGGCTTTCAGTGCTCAAGGACTCAGCCGTGTGGGCAATCGTTAGTGAAGTAAGATATTTGCACTCGACACGTTTGTCTTTGTTGTGTCATGAAATGCAAACCTGTTTTGTGTTTCCGTGCAGATCCATATTAAGAGAATAGCAGTGTAATGAGACGGCTGACTGGAGACCCCCAGAGGACCCCCCCCCCTCTCCAGACTGATTTTTGTACCAGTGAACTCACCAGAGCCCACTCCAGTCTCACAACGGTCCCTCCTCTCTGGCTTTGCTCTTCTGCCCGTCACGTTTCATTCTGCTTTGCATCAATTTGTTTCCCTTTTGTATGGCCGTCTTCTTCCTCTTGACTGTTAGGGTGTGAGAATGCGGATGCTACTGCGGGTAAGTGAGGACCGCGGCTCTGTCTTTCAGCTGCTTTGGATGTAATACACAAATGGAGACAAAAGGACAATCTTCACTTCTTGGGAAAACCAGTCAGCTGATCACTGGTTCGGATGCTGCCAAATCCTCTTTTTACTTGATGCTGCCACCTGTGGGCACGTGTGGGTATTGCACTGTCAGAACAATGTTATGATCAAAGTGATGATCTAGAATGTTGTCAATGATCTGCTCTCGTCTTTGAAGTGTTTGACAAACACCAGCCCAAACGACACATTCATCTCTTTATTTTTAATTTTTTATTTCCGCCTTTTATTAATATTGGCTCAGACAATTTACCACCTTTTTACGTTACATTAGTCAGTGTCTCATTGTTTAATTTATTCTATGACACCTAATGTAATTTGACTGGATTTTACGACTTAATATTTTATCCAACCACCTATTACTTTGCCATCACTGTCTTTGAAAGAACATATTGTTTTAATGATAAATACTTACAGCTATGACGATCTATGAAGGTGAATTAATTTATTTGAAATAAATCTTTAATTTGTACAAGATGTCAAATATATTTTTATTATAGTAGATGTTTATGATTTATTAACTGTTATCTGCGATTGTGAAGTTTATTTTGATTTAGTTAAGTTAGTTGCTGCTCATTGTAATTGTCATGTAAATCTAGGGTCAGTTGTAAAATATTTCAGGTTTACAATGCAAACTTTGAGTGCTAAAGTTTGTAGTTTGTATTGTTAGGATTTGGTCCAATTGTTGTGACTGTGCCTTATATACACTCCCATGATCCACCATCAGTGTCTCTTCCAAATCACTTTCTGACAAGTCTCATTTCTGTAAATAACCGGTTAAACAAGCCCTGTATTCTGGTTTGTGTTTACATTCGATGGTAACCACATTATTTGCACTACAAGGCTATCACATCGTTGACCCAAAAATGTTTTTAACTTGAGATTATTACTACTGATGACTTCGCTACTTTGTATTGTTGTAAGAACACATTAGTCATCTTAGTTTACTTTAGATAGAAGTTGTACAATATTTTAAAATGGGGAAACCATTGTATGTGCATTCTCATTGTAGCAATCAGTGTTTCTGGAAGATGTGAAGTGCCTTTTCACTGAATAGTCTGCTTGTGCTTGTGCAAAGGTTTCCCCATACATTCTTGTGCATTTATATCATTTAAATTGGAAATATGTGCATGACATTGAAACACTTCAATTCTGTACACTAATTAGACAAAAGACAAAATCTTCCTTTCAACAAATTGGTTCATGTGCCTTCATGTACATGTGTTTGCCTGAGGCTTTGCCATTTTCATTGTCATCTTTTAAATAAACAATTGGTTTGCTACAACTTCTCTTTTTTTACGTCATACATTTCCATGTAATTTATTTGTATTTATGCATGTGTAAATTATGGTTTTAAAACGAGTGGCTGAAGGTCAAAGTCCTACACTACAAATCCCATCATGCACAGGGAGTTTAACTTCCGGTTTCCCATGGAGCTGCTTCCTAAACATGTCCGCGAGCGCAGATGACAGCACAGAATACACAACATAGATATTCTCTGGTACACAGCCGTGTGCATTCTTTATGCTTCTGTAAAAGTGTCTGTGGTAAACATGCCGAAATACTACGAGGACAAAGAGGAGGACGGTCGCGCCTGCGCCGGAGTCCGAGAGGACTTTAAGGCCTGTCTCCTTCAGCACGACTGTGTTATAAAAGTAAGCACACTGACCATCTTTGACTAAAGGCAGTTAGAGACACTGTCTCTGGTTTAAGATGGTCATTAACTATTGACTATTTGCCCAGTCCCTAAAGTTGACTGCTCTGGCTCATTCTGGCATAATCTCGTGCAACTTGTCTATTTCCAAGGAAGGAAAAGCTCCAAGTGAATGTCTGAAGGAGGGACATTGTAAAGGACTTCAGACCTCGTTTTTTGAGTGTAAAAGATCTCTGGTAAGCAAAGCAAACGTAACTCCATTGTGTCTCTTGTACTGATACTAATTCTACTTTAGTATTACAAATAGATTTACTTGCTCAAGGGATGCTATTACTAATTGTACTCTTTCGACAGCTGGATACCAGATCGAGGTTTAGAGGAAGAAAAGGATATTAAAGGACATCTGAAATGAAAAGACATTGAATATTGCCTAATGAACTGCTTTATTTTCCCATGGTTTGTACAAGTGTATGAACTAAAATGCATTACACATTATACATTGTAAGTCATTCTCCATTTGTTCATATTTATTTAGTTTAGAGCCGCCATCATCATCTGCTTAAACATCTCCAGATCAACTTTCTTCATAATAAATGCTTTGTGAGTCTTGTTCATGACACCAATCGTGTCAACCACCATCATGCCTCTGGTATGTGTCCCGGTGAGCTCCACACTAACAGGGAATGTGTCCACTTCCAAGATGAATTTCTCATTAATGGCCGCTGCCATTGCATAAGAGTCACAAGAGATGAGTCCTGTGCCATCAATAAACTCCTTCTCAAAACGTTCAGTTTTCGATATGTCCAAACTGTGTTTGAAGATGCGAGCCATGAACCTTGCTTTGTCAGAGTCCTGAGCCAACCACCTAGAACAGAACTCCTGTTTGGAGCCTTTTTTGAGCTGCACGTTTTTTATGATTTATTTTTAAACCCGGTTTTTGCATTGTGAGTAGTAAGTTTCTTTTACTGGTTTTATTTGCCCTACTCGACGGAGTAAGCGGATTTTAACAGACTGCATAAAAAAGGATTACTGTCACTTTTAACAGGACTGTTTATCAGCCTTTTACCGGTAACCAGCCTGCCCACACACATCACCATGGACACCGATGCTCCCCCCGCGAACTCATACAAACAGATATACAAATCACAACTGGCTTCAATCCTCCCATCCAAACCTGTAAACACCATGACCCCCGAGGAACTTCAGCGCACTGTCAAAGAACTATCCACCGAACTCATACATAAAGAGAAACTTCTGGAACATTTCATGGACATATCATTCAAACAGTCACAGCAAATATCCCTCTCCGTACTCAGACAATCACAGCTCCACGACACTGCACTCTGGGATCCAATCGCCTGTCCTCACCCCTCATCATGCTCTACCCCGGTGCTTACCTCACGCTCCCCGGTTGCAGCTGTCCCTCTTGGTGCTCTTCCCTCCTCCTCAGTCCCGGAGCCTGCTGCCCATACCCAGAGCGGCGTGGAGCAGAGGCCTGGAGGCCACACGACATCCACGGCGTCCTCGCGCCGCAGGTTGGTGGAGGAGGCTGTGCGCAGACGCTCGGGGAGCTTCCCACGCTCTAAAACAGCGCGGGGCTCTCCGGGTGTCACGCAGGACCAACTGCGGGAAGCCCCGGGGGGGTCTCTGTGCCCCGACGCGGCACCGGATACCCCCGGGAGCGCTGTCCCTGCTGTGGGAGGGTCCGTGCGCTCTGACGCGGAGGGAATCCCCAGAGGCGAGACACAAAGCAGGTCCTACGCTGAGGTGGCCGCGGGGGGACCTCTGCGCCCTGACACGGCGTGGAGTCCTCCCGTAGACGCTGCATCGCTCGCGGGGGGGTCCCTGCGCCGTGCCGCGGCGCAGAGTCCTCCCGTAGTTGCTGCCTCGCCCGCGGGGGGGTCTCTGCGCTTTATCTCAGCGCGGAGCTCCCCCGCGGAGGCTGTCTCGCCTGCTGGAGGATCTCTCCGCCCGGGGCATGGCCCTCCCACAACCGCCCGCACTACCACCACCACCAACCCCGCTGCAGGGGCGCCGGTTCGGTCTCCGGCTCCCTCCTCCTGCTCCACTGCAGCTCACGGGGCTCGCAGCAGCTCTGCTCCGGGCGCATCCCAACGCTCTCCTGTCCCCTGCTCTTCCACGGGTCCTACTCCAGTCACTCCCTCCCCTCCACGACCTCTATTCGCACCAACTACACTCCTGGTGGGGGACTCTATCATCAAACACTGTAAGTTCTTCAATGCCATCACGCACTGCTTTCCCGGAGCCACTGTCCCTACCATCCTCACTAAACTACCCGCACTTCTACAGACAGCACCCCCCACAATAACCCGGATCATAATTCATGTTGGTACAAATGATGCTGCACTCCGCCAATCTGAAATCACCAAACTCCATTTTAAGGACCTTTTTAACCTTTTATCAAAAACCGGAAAAAGTGTTTTTATCTCTGGCCCTCTGCCCACGTTGAACCGGGGCGTGGAACGTTTTAGCAGGATACTATCACTCACCACTTGGCTTCAAAAATCATCACAGCAGCACAACTTTGGTTTTATTGACAATTTTAATTTGTTCTGGAACCGCCACCCCTTCTTCACACCCGATGGACTCCATATCAATAAACTCGGCACCCGGTACCTGATTTCAAACATCACCCACTCAGTTCAATCCCGTCCCCCGCACCTCTGACAACCCATCACTCCATCCCACATCATTCCTGCCCCGCTGGACTCCAACATCAGTCCCTGCTCCCCCCCCCAACAAGGAATTTCAGTTCTGTCCAGACCCCGCCCCTACAGACCGTCCATACTCCGGAAACCGTCCCTCAACACCCTCATCCCTGTTGCCCTTTGCTCCTCCACATCATCTTCTCCCCTCACTACAAACAAAAATGACTCTCCATCCACCATCAGGTTTGCTCTTTTAAATGTACGCTCTCTTTTAAATAGAACTTTTATCATTAATGATTTGATTTTACAACACAAACTGGATGCTATGTTTTTAACTGAGACCTGGCTGGGTCCGGATGCTCCGGCTGTTCTCACAGAGGCCTCCCCTCCCGATTTTAGCTTTGCTTTTAAAACAAGAGAAGGAAGAAGAGGTGGTGGCACAGCCTCAATTTGGAAAAACACCCTGGCCACCAAAACCATTAATTTTAACCAATACTCAAGTTTTGAGTATCATGCCCTTGTTTTTAGCAGCCCCGAAATTTTAGCAGTAACCATCTATCGGCCACCAAAAAAGTGCAGCCGTTTTATCAATGAATTTTCAGAGTTTTTATCTTTTTTATACAATTCCTATAATAGGATTGTTTTAACCGGTGATTTTAACATCCACTTTGACAACCCATCAGACCATTTTACCTGCGAGTTTGTAAGTATTTTAAATTACATGGATTTTACATTTAATATTACATGGATTAAATTACATGGATTTTACATGGATTTTTACATGGATTTTACTCAACATTTTACTCAACATGTCACACAGCCGACGCACAACAAACCGCTTTGAGACTCAGATCTGCAGTGAAAAGGCGGTATATAAATAAATACTTACTTACTTACTACTTACAACAGAGGGCACACCCTCGACCTGGTCATTACTTATGGCCTGAGTGCGGGTGTGTCCTCTGTTGTTGACCTGGCTATCTCTGACCACTATTGTGTGTTTTTTAAAATCACTGGTTTTGTTAAACAGGAGACCTCTGTGAGAACTGTGAAGAAACAACGTCTAACCCCTGAAGTGGCTGCAAATTTTATGGACATTCTAAATAACACTCCTCAGTTGGTTTTACCTGCCCCCTGTGATTTTATAGCAGATGATTTTAACAGTAGACTAAGAACTACACTGGATCAGGTTGCTCCATTAAAAATTGTAAGCATTCAACAAAAATCTATAGCCCCTTGGAAAAATGAGGAAGCAAGGAGTATGAAAAGACAGTGCAGGGTGGCAGAGCGAAGATGGAGAAAAAATAAAACGACAATCAATCACGAAATATATAAAAACCGACAGCAAATTTACAACAACACAATCAGGAAAAACAGGAACAATTACTTTGCAAAACTAATCAGCCAGAACAAAAATAATCCAAAAATCCTCTTTTCAACCATCGACACCATTTTAAACCCTGATTTTAGCATGTCTCTTTTAACCCCCACAGACTCCCTCTGTGAGGATTTTGCAGTCCACTTCATGGGGAAGATAAATACAATCAGATGTAACATTTTATCCAACCGCACAACTGTTTTTAACACATCTGATTGTTTGTCTTCACCAGAGGAAACACTGGACAGTTTTGTCCTGGTTGATGCTGAGATGCTTGATAAAGTTTTCTCCTCAGTGAGGCCCACCACATGTCTTTTAGATCCAGTCCCCACTCCATTTTTTAAGTCATTTTATGAATCTTTTAGAGAGGAGCTTTTAAACCTGATGAATTGCTCTCTTCAGACTGGGGTCTTTCCTGCAGCCTTCAAAGCGGCTGTGGTGAGGCCCCTTCTGAAGAAGAGCAATTTGGATTTTAATGATTTTAACAACTACAGACCGGTATCCAACTTACCATTTTTAAGCAAAATTTTAGAAAAACTTGTTTTTACCCAGCTCAATGCCTTTTTAGATCAGCAGCAAATTTTAGAGAAATTTCAATCAGGATTTAGGGTGAACCACAGCACAGAGACTGCTCTTTTAAAGATTTTAAATGATTTTAGACTAAATTATGATTCTAAAAAGGTGACCGTGTTGGTTCTACTGGATCTAAGCGCTGCCTTTGATACAGTAGACCACACCATTCTTTTATCCCGCCTGAAACACCTCGGCCTCTCTGGTGCTGTCCACAAATGGTTCACTTCTTATTTAACAGACAGATCCTTCATGGTAAGTTTGGATACCTGCTCCTCTCAGGTCCATAAAATCACATGTGGTGTGCCCCAGGGTTCCATTTTAGGTCCAGTCCTTTTTAACCTGTACATGCTCCCTCTTGGCGGTGTCATCAGGAGACATGGAATTGACTTCCACAGTTATGCAGATGATACACAGCTGTACATCTCCATGTCTCCTGACAACACCAGGCCAATGGATGCTCTTTTTAACTGCATTTTAGACCTGAAATCCTGGATGGCAGAAAACTTTCTCCAGCTCAACCAGGACAAAACTGAGGTTTTAGTCATCGGTCCTGAGGCCCAGAGAGAGAAACTTTTACCGAAACTCCAATCACACTCTTTTAATCCATCATCACAAGTGAAAAACCTGGGCGTAATCTTTGACTCTGAGCTGACTTTTATTCCTCACATCAAGAACATCACAAAAATAGGTTTTTATCATTTAAAGAACATCGCCAGAGTCCGCCCCATTCTCTCTCGGGCCAACACGGAGACGCTGATGCATGCTTTTATCACCAGTCGCATTGACTACTGTAATGCCCTGCTCTCTGGTCTTCCCAAAAAGAACATTTCAGGTTTACAATTACTTCAAAACTCGGCCGCACGTGTCCTGACTAAGACCAGGGGGCGGGACCACATTACACCGGTTTTAAAATCGCTGCATTGGCTCCCCGTGTGTTTCAGGATCGATTTTAAGGTTCTTTTAATGGTCTTTAAATGTCTTAATGGTCTTGGGCCTTCTTATCTTTCAGATTTGCTTTTATCCTATGAGCCTTCCCGGCCCCTGCGCTCCTCCGGCAGCAGACTCCTAACCATCCCCAAAGTCAGGACACACACTCACGGCGAGGCATCTTTCCAGCACTACGGCCCCCGTCTCTGGAACAGTCTGCCGGAGGAGCTCAGGGCCGCAGAGAACGTTCATATTTTTAAGAGTAGGCTCAAGACGCACCTTTTTAGAGCAGCTTTTGATTAGTATTTATTATCTTATTGCTTTTTAGTACATCTATTTATGTTTTTAGACGGATTATATTTTTATTTATTTTTATTATTTACTATTTTTAATTATTTATTGTATCTACCCATTTACTATTGTTATTATATTAGGCAGCTGCCATTTTTCTTTTTATTTTCACATTCTATTGTTCTACTTTCTATTGTATTATTGTATTGTTTTAGTGTCCCCAGTGTTTCCTCTGGAGGAGCCCTCTGCACTGAGAGCTGGGGTCTGCTGTGGCTTCGGGGGACTGGCTCTTGGATCCGGTGGGGGTCTGGGGCCTCCTCTCTCCTCTGGGTCCTATGGGGTCTGAGTCCTGGGCCTGGTGGGGTCTGGGGCCCCTCTCTCCTCTGGGTCCTGTGTCGTTGCCTGTGGCTGCAGCCGGCTCTCTGCTCCTGGTGCAGATGGCTCCTTGGATGACGCTTCTGCAGCCGGTTACATCTGCTCCCAGCCCCATTTCTTTTTATTGTTTTACCTATTTTACCTGATATGACTTTATACGTGTACGTGTGCGTGTGCGTGTGCGTGTGCGTGTGTGTGTGTGTGTGTGTGTGTATTGTATATATAATTATAAATGTGATTTTGGGGGGTCTGTGGGGAGGAGGGTTTAGGGCTGGGCATGTTGGATTGTTTTTAACTAAACTGTAAAGCACTTTGTGTTACACTTTTTGTATGAAAAGCGCTTTATAAATAAAATTTGATTGATTGATATCGAAAAGATCTGCTATTGAAAAATATATATATATAATTTTTCCTTTATTAAAGACGACAAAACAATTGGAATTGCCCCTGATGCCAGCTTCTGGACCCAAATATGTAACAACATCTACATGTCTGACAACGCAAACCTTCACCTGATACAGTACAAAATATTACACAGAACACATCTCACCGGACAGAAAATGTCAAAATTCAGCTCATGTACAGACAAATGCACCAACTGCACACAAAACTCAACTGACACACACATACATGCTTTTTGGCTCTGCCCCCCTGTTCTTCAATTCTGGAAAGAAGTGACAGAAACCCTCTCAACCATTATGGACCACTGCATCCCCCACAGCCCTTTACACTGTCTACTCGGCGACACATCCACTCTAACCTTAGACCCAGCAGACCAACAACTTACCCTGATAGCACTAACAATTGCAAAAAAAACAATACTCCTCAACTGGAAATCAAAAATCAAAGTCAACACTTCACAGTGGAAAGATCTCCTCCTAGACCACTTATCCTTTGAACAAGCATCCACCAACCACAGAATTACTGAAACACCCAGCAACTGGAACAAACTCATACTTTTTCTTACAAATTAACTAATTGCATTGTCACTGTTATTATTATTGTTACGATAATTTGAATTGTTATGATTATTATTATTACTTTTATTTTTTATTTTTATTTTAATGTTAATTTAGTTTTCATATCATTATTATATATTATTGTTATTATGATTATTATTGTGGATTTATCTTTTTTTTTTTCTCTCTCTTTATTTTTGCTCACTTGTGTTATTTTTTTTATTTTTTTTATTTTTTTTTATTTTTTTTCGTATAGTTTCTGCTTAACTATTAATATTATAAATTATATAATTAGTATTTACACATACAAGATATATCATATTTGAATATGTAGAATAAGCAATAGGGAACGGTGATGGTGAGGAAGCAACAATAATAAGTAATATGGTTTACTTTAATTAATACACATTGTATGATAAATATATGGACTCTTCCCACAAGCATCCCAGGCACATGCCTTTTTTAATGCACAACACCTCACGCAGATATTTCTCTTTTTAATACACCACACAATCACAGACAAACTATTGAGGAAAGCTGTCGGAAGAGTGCCAGTAATAATGCTACTGTTAAGGACGCTAGTATGGTCATAATTATTATCTTCATCATCACCACTGTCGCTATTGCTGTTGTTTTCTTCTTTTTTTCTGTTGATGTTGTCATTGTGTGTTTTTTGTTTTTGTTTTTATTACCCTTTCCCATCTTAAGTAACTTATAGTACACCATACCACCAATTCCCATCTATATGCTTGGCGCAGAATCAGGTTTTGTATATATATATATATATATTTTAATTGTCTTTGTTTTTTTTTGTTTTTTGTTTTTTCTATTATAAAAATATAAAATAAATAATAAGTAACACACAGACACACACACACACACACACGCACACGCACAAACATAATGGCAGTGGTGTAACAACAATGTAAATACTAATAATGTATGTCTAAGAATTGTAAATAGTTTAGCAGCAATATCAAAGTAATAATTCCACCTGACCCATGGAGGTCAAAATAAAGAATAAATGCAAAATAAACATGTAATGTTTCTCAAAGGGAACAATGCAGTCTCCTGCCTAAATCAAAAAAACTACTGCTGTAAACAATGCCCCTTCACAGTAAGTAGCCTCTCATGCAGATATGGAGAGGGTATAATTGTAGCAGGAACAACAGACAGAGAGAGGCCTGGAGCTGACCTTGATGCGACTTTGAGAAATGCCAGGCGAATACTAAGTGCCCAGGCCGCCTGCCTAAAAGCTTCAGCCTGACTCATGTCTGTACCTCTTCTGCTGTCCTCATCACAGTAACTCCATGCTTCTAATCACGATTTGAAGACTTAAAATGATTTTCCAGAGTCTGCTTACAACACACCTCAGGACTTCTTACCTGACACGCTCTTTGGAGTCTCCAAATGTCTCCTTGAGGGCAGTGAGGTCAGGGTAATAGGCAGCTGGAGGAGAGATCACCTCCAGTAAACCAGCACTCAGCTCTGTGGAAAACCTGTTCAAAACTACAGTTAGCTTTTAGCCAAAAAATAAGAAATAATTTCATTTTTTATAACAGCAGCTTCACTTAACTCTTTCTCAAGGCCAGCAACGACACTGTTGACATAATCAACGTCCGTCTGCAAGTTTCAGGGAATAAAAACAGTATAAACCAAACAATTTTATTGTGATCAATGAAATCATTTCTAGAACTCACCTCACCAACGTAAACAATAATTACACAGTCGAGTTTCTCCTCTGGAGATAACTTGTCTATAAGGGACCGCAGTGTCTCTGACAGATAGGACTTCACTTTCCTTTTAACTGTAGGGATTCCCATTACCATGGTAACTAGAAGAAGCAGATCATATTTGACAATTTTAGTCATGGCAGGTTTTGTGTTGTTGCTCACTGACTATTTCAGCTCTTAAATGTTTGTACATGTTTGAGTTGGTTTAAAATAAGCTTACTTAAAGTCTAAAGTTAAGAGTTTGTAATATGTAGGAAAAGAACAATCCCAGAGCTCTGAAGTCAACTGATGAAGTGAGAGTGAGATGTAAAAGATAAGAGAAGAGTGGTCCATTGTGGTGTGTGCACTGGTATTGTTCAGGCCACAGAGTGCTTGTGTCTGAACAGACCAGTCTTTAGAGTGGAACAGTACACCAGACAAGAAACAACACACTGGTTCAGACAATAACGATCCATTTCAATTACACACATACAAAGATCACTTTCACTAAGCCTTTACCGTCTGAATGAACGGAGAAACAGGAGTCGCGACACACGTCCCAGACTCATCGGTAAAAAGTATATACAGTGCAAATACGACAAAAGATGCTATCAAAAGCAAATTAATAAGTTTAATTATCAGGAAGAAAAAATAAAATTCTATTTGTTTAAGAACACACATTAGATTAAGGTAAGAAAAAAAAATTGGATACAAATTAAATTGCCTTGCACTGGGCATGTCCCAGTGAACACAATTTCTTAAAAGAAACATTGATTTGAATGCTCCGTGCCACAAGAAAAGGCTTGAACCAGACCCAGGGAGAGTCCAAGGGACAGGAGAGTGGGTGATCTGTGTGGCGTGGAAAATCTGTCCCACTTTAGCTTTGTGTTTCACACGCCAAGCTCCGAGATGTGCAGCCGCAGCCACCATCAGCACAAAAAGTAGGTCGAGGATGAAAGGAGAATGTGGGAGGAAAGAGAGGCAACATCAGAGAGAGCAGTGGCACAGGCGGAAGGCCTAATGCACTCCTGCGCAGCAGGAACAGGCCGCCCTTGGCACTATAGGCAGGTACGACTAGTACGACTAGTACGACTAGTACAAGCAGGTACAAAAACTATAACAACAAGCAGCCATCTTCAGTGGGACTACAGTCGGAGACATCACACTCAAAACAATTGGTTCAGTTATCAGAATAATGTCCAATCATAATATTATACATTCCATGAAAATACTTTGACCAACTGCAGAACCCCTACTGCCTTATTGTGAATCCAGGTGCTAAAGTGCGGAAGCAACGTGGAAAAATTGTGTGTGAAACTTTACTGGTTCTACAGAACTTGAGTGATAAATGAGTTTGCCCCAGTTTCAAGGGGTGCTTATCACTTTTTCCTGTGAGCAAACGCTGGATAACGGAGGCCGGCCCATGTTACATCAATAGTATTTCATATAGATTTACAATAGTGACCCAGGACAAGATAACAGCAGATACAGAGATAAGGCAAGAAACTCTTATCACTTTTCATTGCAAATGCAGTGTCCCCATATCTTGTCCAAGCAAGCCAATGGTTAATTATTGCATTCATAATTATTCAATAAAACGCAAATTTATTGCATTCTTTGCAAAAACACCTCATCCAGCCATCAGAGGTAAATAAAAAAGGCAAAAAGACCAGAAACAGCAAAGCACCAACATTAATTTGAGGAAAACCAAGATTTATGCAATATTCCATTCTTTTGTGATGAATTGACAAGTTGACAAGTTGAAACATAGGCCTAAGGTTTGTAGAAAAATAATTTCTGTTCCACTGTACAGTGGTTGTTGAGCTCACCTCCAGTGCGGCCAAGACCAACCTGCACTGCCGGGTGCAAGCTGCCCTCATTGTTCAGCAGGTGAGGCAGATGGTGATAAATATTGGGGATCTGCAAAGGTTTTCGATTTGCAAGTTCCTTCAGTAGTTTCTGAGTTTCGTCTGAGGGAGGACACACAACAGCATGAGGTGGAATCCTAACAAAAGAGCTGAAACATGAGTTCAGATCCTACCGGAGAAGTTTGTGAGGGCATCTTTGCTGTTGTTGGTCTCAGCGATGGCCCGTCTGAACTGCTCCAGGATACTATTGAGCTCCGACGACCGCTGAAGTGTTCTGTGCTCAGCCACACGGAGGCGCTCTTTCAAGGCATGGAACTCTCTTTGGTATGCAATCAGCTTTTCTATAACAAAAACAGAAACGGCAAAATAAAGACACTTTACACATGCAGGAAAGAAAGCAGTCTTTTCTGAACTAGGCATGCCCTATGTAGAGGAAGAAGGGCAGAGTTCGGCCTGAAACAAATCTTATTTGGTCCATGAGGTGCTGGAGATTTGAAAGAAATGATTTGGATTCAATGAATAATGCAATGTAAGAAGCTAATATAATAAATAATACCATACAGCCTTTATCATTGCAGATATTAGCAAAGAGTAAAAGCATTTGGGCATCCATTTTGCCATTGTCCAGAGTTTATTAAAAAGAGAAGCAGTGGCAATGGGCAAAACTCCTACAATGAAGTGAACTCTTATCTGAATGGATCAGTCTGACTCTGAGCTTAAAAATAAAAGGCTCATTTCTGTGAAGAGGAGGAGCCGGAGAGCCGAAGAGGAGGAACAGGATACGACTATGGCCTGTGGCTTCTCTCACTCAATATATGTTGCATGCACTTGTCAGACCGAGTTAAACGTGTGCACTTTTGTTAGTTATTTAGAAATGTTTATAATTTATGTACTTAAGCGTTTGTATGGATGCATTGCTGCTGCTGGACACCTGAAATTCTCTTACGGGGATCAATAAAGTATCTATCAATCTGATCTATATCTAACAGTACAGCCTTGACTCATCATTGTGAAATATATTCTCAAGTGGGATGGCCTTCCATGTAACTAGGAGGTCAGGACGCTGGTGCACTTTTGTTTTTAAGGCGATGTTTGGTGTTTACTGCTCTCTTACATCTGTCTTTTATTCACACAGAGAGGTGTTGGTTCTTAAAATTTGCGCTCAAATGATCTTTTGTTGCCCTCTGTTGCCTTTAGCCGCACAGAACTGGGAAAAAAAAGGCTTTGGTAGACTCTGCTCCTTCTACATGGAATGTGTTGCAAAGACTGGGAATTAACTGAACGTATTAAATGTAATGCTTTTAAATCCAGACTCTAGATTGAGAGCACTTGAGACATCCTCATTGGCATCCAACTGTTTTTATAATCTGTAATTGTATGTAACCTCTGCCTCTTGTCCTGGACTATCTTGAAAAAGAGGTTCTTAATCTCGATGAGAATTTAATGAAGGAATAAAAATAAATAAAAGGAGATCCACACAGAATATATTAAGGCCCTGAAAACGGCAGTCATCAGGCCCCTGCTAAAAAAGAGCAGCCTGGATGCTACGGTACTTAACAACTATCGTCCCATCTCAAATCTGCCATTTATGGGGAAAGTCCTTGAAAAAGTTGTCTACCTACAGCTTACTAGATTTCTTATAATTAACAACTCATTTGATATGTTTCAGTCCGGCTTTAGACCCCACCACAGCACTGAGACTGCTCTTGTCAAGGTTACAAACGATATCCGGCTGAACACTGACGCAGGCAAAGTCTCAATCTTAATCTTGTTAGATCTGAGTGCTGCCTTTGACACCGTCGACCATGAGATCCTCTTACAGAGACTAGAGGACTGGGTTGGAGTCGCTGGCACCGCCCTAAGTTGGTTTAGGTCTTACCTTGAAGACAGGAAGTACTTTGTGGAGATTGGAGACTGTGTCTCAGATCATATGGCCCTGACCTGTGGAGTCCCACAGGGGTCGATCCTGGGACCTCTTCTGTTCAATCTTTACATGCTGCCGTTAGGTCAGTTAATACGCAGAAACAAAGTGTCCTATCATAACTATGCAGACGACACTCAGATCTATGTCTCACTGACTGCAGGAGAACATGGACCAGTGGACTCACTCCTTCACTGTATCCAACAGATCAGTGAGTGGATGCAAAACAACTTCCTTCAGCTAAACGCAGACAAAACTGAAATGATTGTCTTTGGTCCCCAGAAACAAAGAGAGAGCGTCATCTGTCACCTACAGTCTCTCTCCCTAAAACCTTCAAACAAGGTCAGAAATCTAGGGGTAATACTGGACTCAGACTTAAATTTTAATAGCCACATCAAATCAGTAACATCAGCAGCTTTTTACCATCTAAAAAACATTGCCAGGATCAAAAACATAGTGTCTAAAGCAGACTTGGAGATTCTTATCCATGCATTTGTCTCCAGTAGGTTAGACTACTGCAATGGCCTGCTCACAGGTCTGTCCAAACAGGCTGTAAAACAGCTGCAGTACATTCAAAATGCAGCAGCTCGAGTCCTGACTAGAACCAGGGAGTACGAACACATTAGTCCGGTCCTCAGGTCCCTGCACTGGCTTCCTGTGGCTCAGAGAATAGACTTTAAAACAGCTCTGCTTGTGTACAAATCTCTCCATGGCCTCGCACCAAACTATATTAGTGACATGTTAGTCCCATATGAACCAGCCCGGACTCTGAGGAGCACAGGGACTGGACTTCTGTTAGTGTCCAGAGTCAGAACTAAACATGGGGAGGCTGCTTTTCAGATTCATGCTGCTAAAATCTGGAACAGTCTTCCTGAAGATGTGAGACAGGCCTCCTCTCTGACAATGTTTAAAACCAGGTTAAAGACGGTTCTGTTTAGCTGTGCATACAACTGAGGGATTTTATATTTTTATCTTTTTTTTTTTTTTTATGTACTGTGATTATTTATGATTTTAATGCTTTCTTGTTCTGTTCAGCACTTTGAATTGCCTTGTGTATGAATTGTGCTATACAAATAAACTTGCCTTGCCTTGCCTTGCCTATTACTTATCATCTACCAGGGCTGGGCGATATGGCAAAAAAGTAAACTCTCAATTTTATTTCCTGCTTTGGACGATTTCGTCGTCATGGTGCGTTCACACCGCCAACGCTGGGACGCCAACGCTGGGTCTACCAGACGCACAGTCTCTAATTCTCAGACGCAGGGGTCTTCAAACCAGGAGTCCTGGCCTGCGGCGGCGCCCGCCGGAAGTGGTGGAAGTAGTGATATTGCAAGTATAATTCATGTGCTGCTGGAACTCTCACAATATCCTTCATTTGATTTCACAATTTTCACATTTTTCACAAATTCGATTTTTTCAAAAGCCAATTAATTGCCTAAATTTGATTTATTGCCCAGCCCTGGCATCTGCTCTGATAAATTGTTTATACATTCAAATTAAGATTGTTCTGCTTGATCTAAAATAGGTATGGAATACATAGTAGAAGGGGGAGCAACTTGTACACACTGCAGACAGAAGTGACAGTACATTCTGTGGCTTCTGGAGGCCGTGCGGTCACCAGAACACGCCGTCACACTGCATCTTAAACACTTGAAATGTGTCAAAATCAGAAATCCATGTTTGCAAGCAGCCAATTCTTAAAATGAAGAGACAACATGTGCTACACAATGATTAACACCAGGACTCCAGCAAAATATGAAACTACTGGAACATGCTCTCATTCAAAACGATGGGATTCTGAGAAATTGCCTCAAAAATTTTTTTTTTTACAGTTTTTTTGACAGATGTATTAAAAGTAATGGTACAGGGTTTTTTTTTTTACCTTTACTCAATTTTATAAGTGGTAAAACAGATGAATAGAACTAAAACTACAGCTAAAAGGTTGTTTGTTGAAAATCTACCAAATGCTAAAAAGTATTATGTTGCTATGGTAACTAGTGGCGCTTTTCCACAGCACCGGCACTACACCACTCTACACGACACGGCGCGTTACTTTTGCATTTCCACTAGCGTTGAAGCTAGGTATTGTGTTCTATTTTCGGACCGCCTCTGGAGCGGTTCCAAAAAGCTACACGCTCGTGACGTAAGCGGACTGCCTACGCTATTGGCCAACGGCTCTCTCACACTATTGGCCAACGACTGTCGTCACTGGTAGCGTCATAAGTGCGACGTCTGACCGTATTGAGAGACAAGATTCAACCCCGCCATTTTTAAAACTGCCCCGTGAGCATACGCACTGCACTCGAGAAATGGAATCCAGCAAGCCGCAAAAGTCCACACCGTGGTCTGTTGATGAGGTCCAAACATTTCTGTCTTTACTGGCCGAAGACAGAATACAGAAGGAGCTCGATGGCAGTACGCGAAATGAGAAGGTCTATAAAGAGATCGCCCAGCTCTTGCTAACACACGGTTACCACCGTACGCATCAGCAGTGCAGGGACAAGATTAAGAAGATGAAGTGCGATTACCGGGCCATAAAGGACCACAACGGCCGAAGTGGGGTCAATCGGAAGACCTGGAGGTGGTATGCCGAGATGGATGCCATTTATGGCCACAGGCCTGCAAACAATGGACGGGAGTGTGCTCTGGACTCTTCTTCCACGTCGAGAATGGGCGATAATGGTAAGTGCTTTGTAACTTTTATCTGTAGTTATTGTGAAAATGCATTATCACGTAACCTGTGGCTCAATGCCCACTGGAATGTATTTATTCATGTAAACGTTTGATTGTTGTCTGCTGTACAAAGTGAGCTAGCTACTTTAAGCTATCGATAGCAAGCTGCTAACACGTGCTACATCTTGCCATTTCACTTCTCTCTCGCTCACTTCCGTCAATAGAAGCAGCGTGACTTGTAGTACACACAGTAGCAGCGAGAGAGAAGTCTCCGGAGAGAAGTTAGTGCGCGGAGAAGTTAGGAGCGCTACGTCCGCGCACTAACTTCTCTCCAGAGACTTCTCTCTCGCTGCTACTGTGTGTATTACAAGTCACGCTGCTTCTATTGACGGAAGTGAGCGAGAGAGAAGTCTCCGGAGAGAAGTTAGTGCGCGGACGTAGCGCACCTCAGATTACTACGCCTCACAATATAGTACCCGTTTTATCCGCTGAGAAAATCGACTGTTACATTTCTGTGTTACTATACTTTGCAGTGTAACACGTCACGTAACTATATACATTTAATAGGGAACACTTGGAAGAGTTTGGTAGCTTCTAGCGGGAGCTACCTTTTGGTGCTACAAAATATACAGAGGAGGCTGCGGTTGTGCTCCAGTTTTTGCTCCGTTTGCATGACAGAGCGCACGGACTAAGACCAGACAGGTACGTATTAACTAGTCTAAGGTAAGGTAAGAACATATGTCAGTA